TAGAAAATTCTCGGTGATTGATAAGGGCCAGCTGCATAAGTAGAAATGTTTGTGGTGGGAACTTCATTGGGGTTTTGGGGTAAGGAACAAAAACTATCAGCGATAGAAAGGTTTTTCGACATTGATATCTTTTCAAAAAGAAGAAACTGCCAACGCCTGGTTGATTCTGATTCTCAAGCTGATCAGAAAGTCAGTTTTCTTGGCATGAGGGTTGAAAAATTTAGGTTTTCCGAAGAAAATCTTGCTACTCTTTTTGCTATTGAAGCTGCTGTTAAAGAGCAATGAGAATATTAGATGCATTGGTTTTCTTAGCATCCTTATGGTTTTCCCACGAAACATTCTAAAAAGAACAACTTCAGGGTCTTTCGCGCATCTTTGCTAATTTACTCGTTTTATAGAAAGGCTATGGTCTTGGATCTGGAATATCTCTGTTTATTGCCACTAACATTTGCGAAACCATAGTTTGGAAAGCATTTTCGCCAGCAACCATGAATACTGGCCGAGGAACAGAATTTGAAGGTGCCGTCATCGCACTGTTCCATTTGTTGGCCACTCGCACGGACAAGGTTTGTTTCTTGCTTGGAACCTTTCCGTGGTCAAGTCACCATAATTCTATTCGCAGGTTCGAGCTCTTCGAGAAGCTTTCTACCGTAATAATCTGCCTAACCTGATGAACCTGATGGCTACATTTGTCGTGTTCGGAGTGGTTATCTACTTCCAGGTACCTACTTTACAAAAGTCTGATTGATCTAGCTTATTTTTCACTGTCACATAGTGTTCACTTTTAGGGCTTCCGTGTTGATCTCCCAATCAAATCCGCTAGGTATCGAGGACAGTACAGTAGTTATCCCATCAAGCTTTTCTACACCTCCAACATCCCTATTATTCTCCAATCCGCTCTCGTTTCCAACCTCTATGTCATTTCTCAGGTTTGTTCCTAGTTTTTTAGGCATTTCAATATATCCATTTCTCAATCGTGGGAGTTTTGCAGATGCTCGCAGCTAAATTTGGAGGGAACTTCCTTGTGAACATTCTCGGAACATGGTCAGATGCCTCTGGAAGCTATCGTAGTTACCCAACTGGAGGTACGATTTACTGAGCGATATACTAGGGCCTTTGTTTTGTGAGTTCAAGGATATGAGGTTTCTTATTCCTGTGAATTCCAGGTATCTGCTACTACCTCTCACCACCGGACACCCTCTCTCATGTTCTTGAGGATCCGATCCACTGCATTGTCTACATAGTGTTTATGCTTGGATCCTGTGCATTCTTCTCGAAGACATGGATTGATGTGTCTGGCTCCTCTGCAAAGGATGTGGCTAAACAACTGAAAGAGCAGCAAATGGTGATGCGTGGTCACCGGGAGAAGTCCATGATTCACGAGCTCAACCGGTACATCCCAACAGCAGCTGCTTTTGGTGGTTTGTGTATTGGAGCCCTGTCAGTAACTGCAGACTTCATGGGAGCCATAGGAAGTGGTACTGGTATCCTTCTTGCAGTCACGATTATCTATCAATATTTCGAGATCTTTGTCAAAGAGCAACAAGAGATGGGAGGCATGGCTGCCATGTTCTTCTAATTTGTTCATATATCTTTAATTTATTTTCTTCACGTGTTTGTTGTTGTCTATTAGATATTTGTAATAAATGTCTATGTGTCGTCTTCATTGATAGCGGCATTGTGATAGTTTGTGATTTGAAGATGTCGCTGCTGAATAGTGTTTTAGCTCGTTGTAAGTGTATCTACAGTATCATGCGAATGAATGAAATTTATTTGAAATAACACATTTTACTGGAGATCAATATTGACCCGTGCTTCGTAGGCTTGTTCATCGTACAAGAATTACTCGTGATTTCGTCGTCGTATTTTATCTGAACGGCTGAATAACCCATATAGGTATGGGTTGACGACCGAGTTGAATACCATGAATTCGTGCAGGAAGTAGAACTGAAACACAAGCCATCAGGTGTGGTAGTCTGAAGGGGAAACTGGAATCGTACCTTGTTGAAACTACTGCTGAACAGTTCCTTATCAATCAGATGTACAAGACTTAGCAGATTATATGGTAACCAACAAATGATGTAGGCGGCAACGAGCAGGAATGAGACGCGTACTGCTCTCGATCTGAAAAATGTTGAAAAATCTGTATTAGAGGAAGTCTGGCCTCATCCTTTCGGTGTTAAAGTCAGCACATTTGTAGGCCCCCACATTTCTGGAACGGCACATTCTAATAATTCTACAGGCCTAGTAAGGCCTCTGAGAGGTTTTATCGTCTTGTAAAGAAGTATTTTGTGAACTGTATAACTGCTAGCTCTCTGCATTACATATTAGCGCTAGAGCACTCGATACTAATAACTCTCAGCATAAGCTTCCGGGATATTAGTAAACAAATTACAATTTCCTGTTTATCACTCCAGTTGATGTAGCCTTCTCTTGCATGGAAAAAAACTATCATATACTTATACGGATTCCAAGGGAAGTTGGATATATGGCTTATCCCGAACTGACAGGACGGCTCATTTGAATGACAATCAACAACCCAATTTGAATTCCCAATGGAAGAATACGGGGAGTCGCCGGGGAACCACTGCCGCAGGCCGTGGGAATTCGGGCAGAACTTCCGTTACCCCGTGGCCCAATGGGGTGATCTTACGAACTGAGTGCCCCTCTTTTAAGCACAATTTTGTACTTTTCAAATGAGCTTCGCTGTTCAGTAGTAGGCTGAAGGAAGCTTATCCGATAATAAAGAATTTTTTGTAGACTTCTATTATCTCCGCCCAATTGCGGCACGAATCCGAATTGTAATTGTCCCTATAATAACTCACATCTCTAGCGACCAACACTTACAAGATTTCTCTCTCTCTCATATAGCTGACAACCAAAATGAGTGCATTGCCATAACTTACAAGATTGTATGTCATAGATTTCGTCGTTAGGGAGGGGTTGAATTAGTGGACTCCCGTAGAACCGATTGGTAGTTAGTCTGATTGTTTTCCAAACTATGTGTACGGTATATGCTATCCCTGCTATTGCCCCACTTCCTCGGATAGTCAAAAAATTGCTCGGTGAAATGTGGAAGCGGTTGTAGTCTTAAAGCCTCTCGAACACGTGTGTAGTAACTTCTCCCCGAAAATCGCGTCGTGCTCATTACCTTGATCGCGCGAAGTCGTGCGCTATGAAGAAAAGGTTTGAATTCCCAGTGAAAGGATACCGTAGTAGACGCGGGACCACTGCCGCTTCCCGTGGGAATTTGGGAAGGAGTACTGCCGCTCTTTGCATAGTAGCCCATAGGGAACTTGTAGAAACCCCTCATATTATATTATATTATAATTAATTACACTCACCTATTCACACTGGCATGGTACGACTGNAGACGCGGGACCACTGCCGCTTCCCGTGGGAATTTGGGAAGGAGTACTGCCGCTCTTAGCATAGTAGGCCATAGGGAACTTGTAGAACCCCTCATATTATATTTATATTATAAATATGTTATTTATATTATTACTATTATATTATTTATATTATAATTAATTACACTCACCTATTCACACTGGCATGGTACGACTGGCTATTGTGGACACTGGTCCTGATGACAGCGCTGGCTTCGCTGGACGCAATCGATGGACGAGTTGTCAGCGGAAGTGATGACTCGTCCGAAACGACAATTCGAGGCGGAACTGGAAATTGGCGTATGTCGAAAAAGTCGAACATTGGCTTGTGAAATGAAAAGAGAAAACGCTTTTACCGAGGCATTTCTCGTCTTTCACGTCCTTCATCTTCGGAAGAGAAAACGTTTTCAATGGATTCCATTCTGGAAACTCATCGTTTATTGTATTCTTCGATGGCTGTACTGTTGCTACGTACTGAGAGCACTGGTCGCCAATAGCGGCTGCGGTGCGAGGCGAGTAGACGCCGCAGCAGCACCGGTAGCCGGACCCTGTGTGCGATAAAATTGCTCTTCCATCTAGTAGTTGGACCTACTCGTATCGCGACCTATTGTACCTATGCTTAACTAAGTCTACGGTCAGAAATATGGGGGTCTGAACCTGCCTTGACGCCTTATTTTTAAAGTCTAAACCAGGAACGTACTATCCTATGCTGATCTAATTGCCTAAGAATATCGCTGAAGGTGCTTTTATAGTCAGCGAAAGCGGCAGAAACTACCCATCAGCCATTATCGATTGATGTGGGCGCTGTTGGCAACGCTGCCCGCATTGCAACTCATACCGGCGGTGGTTGTAGCTGCGCGCCGTGCTGTAGTCCGCGCAAAAACTAGGTCATCGCTCGGGATGTCGCCGCGAGTAGTTAGCGCGGAAGCCCATTCGCCAAGTATGTCCACAACTAGGGATCCAACTTTTTAGGTTTCTCTCCGAGGTGTCCACAAATGATGTTTTTATTTCAAGCAGACCCTATACGTGATACAAAAGAAGTTCAATCGCAAACCACACCTCGCCTTATCGAAATTCCATAATCGCCGCATTTGTCAAAATGCAAATCATCGCTTCTATTTATGCGACATGGGCACGAAATTCCTTAAATGCTCCCCTGCATCAATATTCAAGCAACTCCATCCTATCGGGAGGATAACGTAGTGGGAATTCATTTCGCCCAATTTTTATGTCGGACTACGAAGCCTTTGGAGTTTTCTCTATTCTTCTCCCAAATGTGGAAACAGAAATGTTTGGGAAGTCCAAGAAAAATTTCCTAACCTGAAGTTCTGGTGAGTACGGTATCCACCGTTTCGCATCCGGTTTGGAGCGATCCATTACGATTTCCCCCTCTTGAGATTGACGGGCGGGAATTCACGAACACCCACGACAGAACAATTACGTAGCAGATCTGAAATGGAATCGATCATCTTTTAACTGAGTCATTGACGCCAACTACTATCTCAGGCTGTGCCCCGAAAGTAGTCGTGTGCCGTGAATAAATAGGGGACGGAAGGGTGTGATGGGGAAACATTGCCCGGGGGATAAGCATACGATCCTCAATATCTGCACTTAAAGGCATAGTTCACAATCATTCTGAGGTGTTTAGTTTTAGTGAAAGAATGGACGCCATGGTGAAAATGGCGAAGAAAGGCTTGAATGGCTTTTGGAGGCTTCTACCGCCAGTAGTGAGGGGAACGGTGCAGGATCATTCGCCAATTCTGTCATTTTGTCAAGCATTTGATATCCTTCCCTCTTGTACAATGCCGATGATGTCAAACGCACACTCCTGAACTTGGGGGGTTTGCCTGGCAGATTAGATTGGGAGAAAAACATAAACCAGTGTATGAAATCAATCTTCTGGTGTAGTGGTTGTCTACATAGTATTGCCTAGCACCTCATCTGGAGAATCAAACAGTACACGCTGCATCCGTGTAATTTCGTTCAATAAAGAAATAAAAGGTGATCGGTACACCAGGTTATGTCGCGCACTGATATCGAAGGCCCCAAAACAAAGAAAGCGCTTACCACGAATCATGTCGGCAACAAAAGTGGTGCTCGTTATTAATTGTAGTCTGCACAGTTTAATGTTTCCACGGGTTTTTCCGACTAGGACGAAATAACCCCAACCCTGAGAGCATGCCTCAAGATAAAGCTTTCCCTGAGAGCATGCCTCAAGATAAAGCTTGGTCGAAGCTTCACTTAGTTCTAACATCGTCTGGCAGAGCTCGACGAGCTCAATCTGTTGGTGACTTTTACATGAAGAACTTCATTTTGAAGCGTCTTGCAACGGAAGGAAGCAAAAACCCTTATTCGTTTTCTCCGATTTCCGTTTTGAACTTCAATATTCCATGCCACTGGTACTGTATATATTTTAAAACGATTCCTATAAAGGGAACCACAGAGGGTAAGTAGAACTACTAGAAAGGCGGAGTGCACTTGTGAAAGCGTTTTCCTCAGTCCGGACTGGATTTCCAAGGGGTAAAGATCTTTTTCATAGTGAGCATGAAGACTGTTTTCTTTAGATGGCACCAGAATAGGAAGGGATATTTTCTCCATAGGTTTCAAATCGTGCCAAGGATATTCTCAACATGGCAAACATAGGAATATTTAGCGTTCCAGCGAAGACGGGCATCGATTCTAGTTATTCTGCTCAAAGTAATGCCTTTGAAGAAATATCCTCTGTTCTAAATCATAAAATTCCTAAACGGAAGGTCCACCATTTCCCCAAATGACCGTTTTGTCAAATAGGGTTTTCTAGCTCCCAAAATGATGGCAGTCAGACCAGTTCTCTACATACATTGGGCTAATGAGTCCTCCAAAGTGCCCTAAGCGAACTCCAGCATGTTCATTAACGCAAAAAAGTAGGAAACGGTAGAGTCCCAGAGAGCAAACAGCATTCCCAGAGTTAATGAGGAGTTTCGTTCATCGAGATCATTTCGCTCTTTTTAGAAACCTCTAAGAACCCTTCAGCTGTTCAATTGAGTATCCACTTTATTATTCTCGTAAAATTCCCCTGAAATCTGACTCACCACAACTATTAATGCTGGAATCCAAAAAATCAGTCCTATGTGAGCAATTGAATACCAGGATTCAGCATCGAAGAGTTTGCCTTTTATGGAAGGATTTTCCAGACGGGCGATTTCCCAGATCTGAGAAAAACCGAGTTTGAGTTATGAAATAGGAAAGTGAACTGAAAGCCTTATATATGGCATGTTGGTTGGCAGCTGTGGTACCACAGGAGACGAAAACCAGCGATTTTCCTGTCCCAATGATTTCTACGCTAATCCCAAGATAGTTCCCTCTGGGAAAGTGCCTATGAATACCAAGGAATCAGTTTTATTTTTAGCCACTGTTATCCCTGGCCATCTCCGATGGCATTTCCGATCTTCTTAATGCCTAGTCAAGGCGATTGTCAGCATGACAAATAGCCATTTCAGTTACTTCAATCAGATCGACTTGTAATTATCGCCATGGTAACCTTCGACGTAAAGAGAGCTGAATCATCTGGCACGATCATCTATCAAACCTTATGGGTGAAGAAGCTGAGAGAAGCCTCACCCAAGCTTCAGGATTTCGCTTTACGTTTTAGTTTCTGCTGGGTGCAAATGCATTTAGTGCCCTAACTACTTATGATGCGCAGTGAATCCTTGGGTACTAACTAGTCGTCTCGACGTGCGATGTCGCCTTAGTTAGTTGTCTCGTCACGCGGCACACATCCAGGGCAGCAGTCCATATTCAGGATAACGGAAAAACCATAGGAGGGGAAAGATCCTCACGACTTATGCTCCCATCGACAGAGATGGTAGGCTCCCAAGGAAAGTCCACGAGATAATTCCCTTATCTTACTTTTACTTTAGCAAAAGGTTTGGAGCTAAACATAAATGAGCCCAGAAAGATCCTCACTGCGATTCAAGTACGATGGCACGCCATTATCCACTGAGCCTAGTCATTATAGTCCCTTATTCGAATTTGTGAAACGCGTCAGTCTTCTGTTATCGAAAGAATGAGAAAAATAGCTTATAATCACAACTTTCTTGTTTTTTGTAGTATTACGTGAGAATTTTTAATTGTTATGCGTTCTCACGAAATCGAATTCCTTCCAGGATACTGTCTGGTAATTCAAATTGAGTGCTACACCAAAAATCTGACAGAAAAGTCTTTTCGCTCAAAAAATAAGGGTTCAGAGGTTCTGAAGAAGAGCTGCCGACTATGAAAACCACTTTTTCCCTTTTAATGCATTTCTGGCAACACGGTCATTTTTCCAAAAAGCCAGTCTCTACCGGAATGTTAAAGGGACTGAGTCAAAATTCACAACACCACATTCTTGCTGTATGTTACGGGCTCTGGAGAGAGCGTAAACGGCAAAGCGTGAAGGGATGTAAAAGACTTTCACTTTCTGAATTACGGCAGCTACGACCATTTCTTTTTTCAGCCATTTCTGTTCACATCATTTTTCTCTTCATCTCTTTATGGACCTCACTCTACGATTCCCGCGGCATTTCCTATGTTATGGAGGAACTGCGTAGCCGTATTTCTCTAGCCAGCCTCGTGGATGACGTCGGGGTTTCTGAGTAGCTGCCTTATCCATCCTGATCCTCAGCCAATTTTTCAGGGAATCTCAGATCATAGCGCGTGACGAGACATCCAAGTAACTAATGTAGGATTCACCGAGCGAAACGTGGCTGCCATTAGACACACCTAGCCCTGTACATGCATTCTACAGGAGTTGATTAAAAGGTTATTTAACAATGAAATTTCACAAATGACTTTTTCTTATACTCTGAAAAAAAGCCGAGCGGCAATACCTGTAAGCATTGACTCCAATTAATATGTTGGAACGGCACGTAACTTCGCCATACGGCCAGCTGGGGTAGTCCAATGATGATGGCTGTCGCCCATGCTGAAAACATCCATGTTCACTACATCGTATTTCCAGAGTAACTTGTTAGAAGAAAAGCCACCTGCGGCTAGCATCGCTCTAATGCGACGATTGGCTTTATCAGGAGAATGTCGTGTTGCCGAGAAAACTGAGAAAAGTCGATCTAGAGCGATGCAAACAATGACGTTTGACGAGGACTGAAAATATGTGAAGACTTATCCCGACCGAGTCATAATATGTGTTTAATGCATGCTGTTATTGGATATGATATGCATCAAGGCTACCTTTCGAGTAAAAAGGCAGTGAGGACAAGGAAAGGCAGAAAAAACGGGACCTGAGCAAATGAGAAGGGTGTGATTAGGGCCCTGAACCTATCTTTGAAGTTGAAGGCACGGTTCAGGATAGAAAAGGTTACTGAGTTCTTCCTTTAGGAATACTCAGCGCCCCCCATGGGTGGTAGAAGGGACCCTCTCGCTCCCACAATCTCGGCGCTTCGGGCATAGTTGCTGCCGTAGATCGCTTTCCCGCTTTCGATCGATGTCAGACGAGTATCGAGGCAATACAGATTGCGATTATTCGTTCTAGGACCCACGCACAATGAGCTAATCGCCAAGTGATGAGGCGATGTTTTCTCCCATTCTTTTTTCCTCTGTTTTTCTTTTTGCTGCCGCGATCCCTTATTTAATTTCTCACTCCTAGAGGCTGAAAAAAGTGAGCTACTTCTGTTGTTACCAGGGTTTTTTTATTAATGCTTATAAGCGAATGAATTCCTGCTTACCATTGTCTGTTGTTCGCACCAGGAACCACACGCGCGCNTTCCTCTGTTTTTCTTTTTGCTGCCGCGATCCCTTATTTAATTTCTCACTCCTAGAGGCTGAAAAAAGTGAGCTACTTTTGTTGTTACCAGGGTTTTTATTTATTAATGCTTATAAGCGAATGAATTCCTGCTTACCATTGTCTGTTGTTCGCACCAGGAACCACACGCGCGCAGTGAAACACACTGTTCAGCTCGTCCGGACGCCCCACTCTTCTTCATTTTTCTGGTTTCATTCTCGTCCGGCCCCCTTTTTAACGGTTTTTCGAAGCTTTTTTTCACTTTTGGTACACCGATGCACGTAGTTTCTTCACCTCAGTCGCACTGGTTTCGATCTTGTCTTCCATTTTTCATCATAATCTGGATTACCCAAAATTATCGTGAACTGTGCCTTCGACGATTCCCGTTACTTTTAATGGTAATGATTCTTGTTAACGTCAATGAACACGTATTCGTCCAGGACACTACCAGCTTCGATGTTACTCTCCCGATGGACCTGGCAATTGGATTCTGGTTGATGGTCTAGGTAATGTCATTTGTCCTTATTAGCCTTGTTATCATAGGGGCGCTGAGTCACGGGCGCCCGCGCATCCTGACGCTTTTTATTATCTATTCGATTTGAGGTAGTGATTCGATTTTCTTAATGAATGGTATTTCGTAAAACTATGGGAGAGACCCATTACCCGGTGATCACATATTCGTTCATCATCAGGGATGAAAGAGGATGTGCGAAGGTAAAAACTTCTCTCAAAACTGAATTACTGGCAACATTTGTTTCAGGAGCTTCTTGGGAACATGCTAATCCATGGTCATCTTAAGAATCAGTTCGGTTCCTTCTCTCAGAGTGGCCCTGTTCCTAAGAGTCAGCCGGCAAGTGTGGGGGCATAGACATCAATCATCATTAAACAACCGGTGTCGAGAAGTGATTGATAGAAATCAATTCTCACCTGAAAAGCTACCGTATGCATCATTTTTACCACTCGACACAATAGATCTCCTCCTCGCCAATCGTAAGTGAGCAGCCAACATGCCCTTGAAGGCACGTATATGAAAATCACCAACAAATCTGTATAGTTGAGGTGTCGTTTCAGTAGATCCAATCGACTTGCCATTGGTCGTTCGGCCAGCTGAACAGCATCTCTTTAGCTATCAATTCTTCAATGAAAGGCTGTTTCGAAATTGATCGAAGGCAAAGTTCACAATAAAAATGGTTACTGAAATTTCCCGATAAGATGAATTTTCGCTCTTTGCATATCATATCTGGCGCTATTAGGTTGTAAAACGGCCTATTAAGGGAGTTATAAAGGTCCAAAATTGGCTCGTGTGTATCCGAGTTTCACCGGCATTGCAGAGGCTGCACCGATCANAAGGGAACCCATGTAGGAAGTTCAAACAACTTGTTATGACCCATAGCGACAGTGGGAAGCAATTTTGCACAGCTATGGCTTGATGTAGTCAGCTCTTTGCACAACGGTAGCAACTGAAATCTCGTCCGGAAACCCTTTCCACGATATTTCTGTCAGGGTAATCTCGTCCAACCTCTATTTTCCCTACTTTTGAGGAGCCTCATTACTCGCAAAATCAGCGAATTCCCTCGCTTTCCTCTCTAAACTAACGCTCTTTTCTCTTCTCTGAGTTGCTCCCATCCAATACTTTCGCTTTTTGTCTAAAAAAGGGTACTTCAGAATTATCGTGAACTTTGGCTTTAAATGAGTCTGGAATATTACGTAAATGAGGCTGAATTTTCATTTTTTCTTTTCGCATAATTACAGTTAATAATGGAGTGACTCGCAAAAAGTGCAGAAAATCATCAGAAAAGATGTGCAACGTAATTACTTAGGGAAATCCCTGGATTACGGGAACGACAGAGGGTGGAATGTAGTCACCGGTTGTCTTAAGATCGGAAATGGAAATTTCTCGAGAAAAGCAGAGGGGCTGCTTTCTCGGTATTTTACGAACAATATATGCAGGACAATGACCTAGTAACGCTCCGACCTTTCCGATCTTCAGGAAAAGTGGCAAAACCCCAATGAGATTTATGAAGAAGGTGGGCCCCATTCAGCAAACTTTGACAGAACTTTAAAAGGTGAACAAATTAGTGCTTTTGTTTTTTTCGGTCTTGAGACTGATTTTGTGGAGATGCTTTTAGCCTCTCAGCTTTTGAAGTGAAAAACCCTCAGGCACCATGGGACCCACTCCACATTCGGAATCTTCTTCTTTCCAGCGCCAACCCCGCGTCGCCGCAGGGCCCGCTGTTATTCCATGCCCGTAAGATTGACCACCAAACAAAAACTGTAAGCACAAAGATACTTTCCGAGTTACTAGTACACCAGGACGTGATGCACTGCACCAGAAACGTTTGCCTTTTTACCATGGTAATTCTAATCATTAATTATCGAGATTTCTGTGGCTCACTTCAAAAAAGCGCGCATCCGAAGGCGGAGGGGGAATTAGTAAGTGGAACTCCATAACACGCATGGTCCTATGATCGAATCCTGCCCCGATACTCTCCCAAGCCAACCAAGCCTTCCATCCCTATGGGGGTGTCATTCCGTGAAAGGATAAAACCACAGACTTGTACATCGGCTGACTACCGCAAATTACTGCAGCATAGGCTACATATGCATTCGAAACACCACTGTGGCTATGTATGGAAACCGAAAGCGGAGTTGATTGTCGCCAAAAAACTTTAAAGCCTCCAAAACTTCGTGTCTATTTTATACAGTGGTGTTCAAAAATTGACGTCGAAAATAGGTTTTGCATGATGTACCACTGGAACTTGACATATGCATGAAGACGAGTGAAATTCGGACCTTACACAAAGAAAATTGCTACAGTTCTGTTCGAAGAAGAACCTACCCCCCCCCCTCACCTTCTTTTACACGTTCCTACCGAGTCTCTGATGGAGGATAAGGAATAAAGTGTTTTGGTGGTAATCGATCCCGTCTAAAGGATGGGCCCCCGCACCCGATTCCCATTCAGAATCGTAGTGGCGTAGTGAGTGGGTATGTGGCCTATACAATGACTTGCGGTGGCCAGCCGATGTACAAATCAGTGCTTTCATCCTCCCAGACGAGTCTGGTACCAATTCACCGACCCCAGTGGGATGGAAGGCTTGGTTGGCCTAGGCGGATATCGATCCCGGTACTCGAACCCGTGACCTTGCATGTGTGAAGTGTACCACTTGCCACCACACCACCTCCGCCAAGCTCCTAACATTTCACTTATTGCACCTGTCTCGTCCATGAAGTTTGCGTACTAGTGACCTATGAAAAATGGGCAGTTTTCTGACGGCTTAGGAGCAATTATCTCCCATTTTTGCGACACTTCCGTGGTGCTGTTTATCTGCATTGCCCTTTCTGCAGCAATAAATGAGCACGAAACGTTTGCTCCATCCGCTCGGAGCATCTTCTTAAAGCAGAAAGTGCATTGAGCATTCGACTTCAATTATACTGGCTGGACGGCACTAATAAAGAACTGTGGCAAGGAGTAATTAGTGGGGAAGCCAGCAGTGACGTCGTCCTCTGAGCCCACCTCAGCCTCTGCTTGTTGCTTTTATTAGTCTGGACAGCAGCAGAAAAAAAAGTACCAAGCAGTTGGCCGCAATGACGCTCCAGAGCTCCTCTGTCTACTCAAGAAAACACTGAAGAGTTGGTTGAGGTTTTGAAAGTTCAAATGAACAAGTGCTTTCCATGATGCAATTATCATCATGACCATGTTGCCTTTGGCAGCTCTCTTCGCCCCTGAGCTGGCTGGGATTAGATCCCACACACGGTTGGTTACCAAGGACACATCTTCTCTTGCTTATAAATCCCTCAGCGGATCTTGGTCATAACGGGGTTGTTCAGCATCAACGACTGGTCCTGATGGCTTGGACTCAAGGGCATATACCCATAGCTAACGACCTTTCAAGAAAAGTCCGATATCGTTAGTGCTAGGAACAGAGTTGGTAGTTCACACACGAAGAAAATGATGAATAGTATCCGCTATATACGACAAAACGATAAGTATGGAGGTTCTGTGAGCTACTCATCCATCATCTGACCAAGAACTGCTCACTCTACACCTTAACTTAAATTGTATATGACTCTGGATCTCTAGGACTCAAGAACTCTAGAACAAGACTTCAAGAACCGTTTTCGATTTCTGAAAGCCTACAAAAAAGCATAGGCACTAACAGAAGCGTGAAGAATATAGCACAGAAACGGGTTCGTGTTCCGTCCGACGCCGTCGTTTTGCCCGCAAATCGCCACCCTTGTGATATAGGGAAGAGAACAAGTTTATATTAGACCTCTTGTGGGCTATGGTTAGGCTTGGCTAGCTATGTCATATATCTAGCTATATGATTTCTGATCATCGGGCTTTGAACATGAATCGCTTTCTGGAGAAGGGTGCATAGCTAAGCCATGTAATCACGTTTCACATTTTCCTAAAAAAATGGCAAGTTCAGGTTCATTTTTCTTAAAAGAGGGAAGTTCAGCCATGTTCTTGGGCCATTCGAAAGAGGAAATGTATGGACTCCTTCGAAGATGCCAGCTTCTTCTCTCATGTGTAAGGTTTACTGCAATGAAAAGTAGTAGCAAAAACTCTTGTTAGCAGTACATCGAGCATGTTCTTGTGGTTAAGATTCTAGAACATTTGTTACGACGGCTTGAAAACAACTTGTTGTTTACCGAGAAACACCTCCGTCATTGTTTTGTCGGTCATTATCTTTAATTCGATTGCGCTCGAGCATAATTAGATTCTGATTCCGTCTGGAAAATAAAAAGATATCTGCCCATACTGAAGCGGACTACTTTCAAATCCCGGCAGGCTGGATGGAACGATTCCAGGTATGTCGATGGACGACTTAGTGGGACACAATTATGGGCTCACATGACAATGTCAGGTGTGAAGGAACAAATTCTCGAGAAATTAAGCTGTAGCGGAATGGTCAGGTTAATATCCAGGTGAAGCATTCAATCATTTCATGTCTACCTTTTTATTCCCAGATGTTTAACAGCTGACAAAGTACATATGCCAATGTTGCGGGCAGCCGTATGGATCGAGGGATGATATTGAATGCTTTAAAATTACAGTGTAATACGTGTGGACCTTGAAAATCGAATCTGAAAGGCACTGTTCGCGATAATTTTGAAGTCCCCTTTTTAGATTGAAACTGGGAGTGTTGATGTAGAGGAGTTCTTCGGTGGCAAAGAAAGCGAGAAAATCCGCCTACTTCAAGGCTTCTTAAAAGTAATGGAAGTGGAGGTTGTACGAGATCACCGTGACGTTAATGGCATGTAAGGGGTGTTTGGACGAGATTTAACTTGCTCCCATCGCGCAAAGAGATGACTACATCAATCCGTATNTGGGTTACGACAAATGGTTCGAACTTCCTTCATAGGAGTCCCCTGAGGCAGTGCAGCCTCTACAAAGCCATTGAAACTCGTCCACTATGGGTGGCATCCATACCATACAATCTCTGGCCCCTTATTGTGCCCTAACCATGACGTTTTTCGACCTCATAACGGCAAGTATGGTATAAGGGAAAGTCTCGAATTTATACTATAGGGAAATCTCAGAAAACATTTTCATCGCGGACTGTGCCTTGAAGGACATCTTAGGAGCAAATTAGTCTGATTGAATAAGAACTGCCCTCCTATAAGATTGAACTTGCCCAGTCCCCTCAAGGGTTTTCTTGTTTGATGTTTTTGCTGAAGATCTGCTGAAGCTTCAAGTAAAGCCCAAGATTATGGGATATGAACAACAACAAAAAAGGATTCTGTTTACTAGATACATAATATAATTTCCTTCTTTTCCAATTCATTTGATGATACCCCTACGGTTTAATGAAAGAGAAATGATAAACAAAAAATTCATGCCAACGAAGCCATATCGTTGGTTTAGTCAGATTAAAACAAACATAAAAAAAGCAAATGTACCTGTGTGTAAGCAGCCAGATTAAGTGGAGCACCAATAATAAACATCAAAACTAGTGACGTCATTTCGAGATAATCAGAAAAAATCGGTTCGGGTGGATTTCCTTTGGATGAGACATCGACGGCGACGGCACTCGTATCGACGAATAGACCCGTGACATCGGTTAAATTCAAAGGGTCACCACTGGATTTCATTCTCTGAAAACGGTCAGACTGAGGTGAATTAAATGACGAACCGTTGAGGGAAACATAATGAGAAAGAGTGGAACGGGAGCGAGTGAAGGTGTTAGGGAGAGACGCTGCCTTGACCCGCCCCACAGCTGGTGTGTGTCTGATGAGGGACTTGAGTTAAAACAAAACAAGTTCAATAAAACTGGGTTCAGCGGGAGCCTCAGGGAAAGAGTGGACGAGTTGCAGTAGTCTAAGAGTCACCTCTTGACTGCTGCTCTAATAAAACAGACTATTAATAGATTTAGAGAAATTTCCGCAACGATCAGGCCGTTAATCATCGCTGAGAAGAAGGATCTCAAGAAATCTGAAGGATAGAAATGAGCACAGAGGTTAGACTAGCAACTGTGATAACAGAGATCTTGCTGTTCGATTCATTTACGGCACAAAAACGAATTTCACCAATTTGCTGGTGAAGAATGGGAGCCTCAGAGAGGCGGAAAATCAGCGTTAATAAGCTATAAGCGATAGCAACGACATATATACGTCGGAACGGGAAAGGCGATTAAACAGTAAGGGGATTGTCATATCAGGAGCAAGCAGAATGTACACAAATTCATTGAGAAGTCCGGAAATTTCAGAGCATTCTGAGCATATCACTTGATGAAGGGACTACATGGTGCAACTAGGCGAAAAAGGGCCGATAGGCTTGAAATCTACGTTCATTTGGGGCCCTAGGTCAGCTTGCTCATACGGGCTTGAAATTCGTCTCAAACGGAGTATGGGAGTTGTTGCTACTAGAACAGCCATTACTTATCTTTTGTCGTAACTGCAACTGCAGTCAGTTGTAGTAATGACAACCCGCGACACCTTTACACATACCCACACTTATACACACAGACACACACTCACATACACATATACACACAATACTTGTGTAATGAGTCGAAGTCTCATCCATCCAAGTCTCTAGTCCGATTTCTTCACCTAACCGTCAGTTTATTTTCCGACAATGCTCACCTACACCCAGCAAAGAAAAAAAAAACCACCGTACAAATTGCCCCTTATCCGTACGAATTCTACACGTTTCCCCATTCAATTTTCATGCGGCCTCCCATAGCCTTCCTAATTACCTCGCCAGGAGAAAATGCGTCAGCACCACCATGGATGCAGATAGAAGATGACTTGGGTCTGAGAGCTTGCAGACTCCTGCATGAGCAAATAGCTTCATCTACATACTGGTCAGTGGAAAGAGCTTACGCATACTCGATATGTTAGATCGTTAATGTTAGATACTTGCTGAAGATGCTATTTTATATAATCGAACGGTCTCAAAACTGCTTAGGCATCCCGTAATCACACTGATAAATTGATGTGTTGCAGATGTCAAGGTTAGGAAATGATTCATAAATTAATGGCAGGTTGATCACAGCTAATTCATAGGGTAGAATTTCTCAAGGTAGGCCACATCTACTAGCAATTCGATGCCTATGTAAATGTGGATTGCTCCGAACACTAGAGTTGAACTGTAGTTCAAAGTCTCAAGCAAGGACGGTAGGTCTTGGGAGAGCGTTGTGATGATACATTCTTAACAAGAGGCTCAGAACAAGTGAGTAGAAGGCTCAGAATAGACGCATCCGTGCAAAGCAAAAAAGAAAACGAAGAGTTTACGACCGATCAAACCAAACTGGTCATTGAGTTCTAGCGGAGTGCCATTTTATCAGATCTGTCTTATGTCCAACCCCCCCCCCCCCCTCCCCCCAACGAAACTTGTCCTGTTTTCTATATAGTTTTCTATATATAGCTACTCCACAGTAACGGAACACTGATTCATAAGATAGTCACGCTGAGGAGGTAGCGAAGTGAAGACGCTCCGCGACGTGCACATGAGCCGTCTATAGACTCCTTGCCTGAGCACGACAAATCTTCCACCCCGCTGGACGCTAATTAAAGGCAACAGTCCATGGAAATGCAAAGCCTCAATCTCCTTGGTACCTTACGGGCGATTATTTGCGGTCGATAGCGTTCAGAGAAGAGTTCTCTAAGACACGTCAGTGTAATCATTTGAAAAAGTATGTCAGTGTTTTGCATAATGAAACTGAAGCCAGAATCACCTCATAAAGAAGCCACAAAAGAATCAGCTCATGACGAATACTCTACACTCTGGGACAGAGAACAATAAAAGACTTCACGCAATTTATGAGAGTTTGTTACAGTGTACACAAAGCCATTATAGGGATGTTTACGGAAAAAGTCACTTGTTCCAGTGTGCTCACAGAAGCTTAAGGTAATGGCCACTGGCTGTCGACAAAACAGGGATCTTCCTAAAAGCCACAACTCCGTGCTTATCTTCGTATGTTAAGGGACCATCCCAGGGACTGACTTGGCAAGGATGTCCACGATTTTCGCGATCCAGCTTCAAACTTTGCCCAGACCGAACCAGGAGGTGTCTACTGCTACTGGCGAAGGGGGGGGGGGCACACCT